TTAGAACTTTAAAGAACTCCAGAGATTGAATTTCTGATTATGAAGAACACTTCGACAATCAATTTGTAGAGAACGTGTACTACCATAAGAAGACGCCGACCATCATCTTCCACAATTATTTTTTTCAGCAGAACATGGTGAGGTCGATGAAACAGTCCACCTATGACGTGTATTAATCACAGCTGCACGTGTCTATTTATTTCCGTGATTGATATCTAACATCGAATTATTTGTACCATATCTCATAATTGTCAAGATTGCCGAGCGTTTGTCAATGGTAAACGCACACAAAGGTAGGCGTCTCTTGTGAGATAATCTAAAGAGTCATTGAACTGAAGTTCAGAAGGCATTAATGTCATCCTCATTAATTATCATATTTTATTTTCATAAATTATTGCCAATTACTATCCTGGTATGTATAGGTAAGTTTGTTGCAATCAAACTTTGGCAAATAACCGTAATGAACGAATATAAACAATGACGGTATAATCATTACACACGTATTAGGGCGCGATAAACGGTGATATAAGGTTTACCTCTAAGATCAGAATTTGACTAAAAACCATGGCAGGTGTTTGTATGTAAGTTGTCAATATCGTTTTAATCTACAACGTTTTTAATGAACATTTGTTTAAGAAATTGGGGCTTACTGTTTATTGTTAAGTGACAATTCAATCTCGTTTGTTCTTGCGGTAAAGCTTCTGACAAAAAAAAGAAAACAAAGCAAAAAACAAAAATAAAAAGGGTAACAGAAAAATGGCAAATCTATCAAGTGTAAATATGTTTTGTTGACATTTTTACCTCCGTTTGATCTAGTTCGAGATTATGTTGACATGTCGGTATTTGCCAGTAGCAATCAACTCCACCTTTAACTGGATGCTAAAATAGAACAAGGTTAGCTGTATATAGCATCATTTCGATCAGAGCGGAATCATCAATGTTTTACTTTTGTAGTTAATGAATAAACAAGAAATAATTAATGATAACTAATTTCAGTAACAGATGAAAAATTTAATTGGTATGTGTGGATTGAATTCTCGAGGGATCGAACCGCTTTGTTGATATTACCGGGAGGTGGTGGAAAATATAATATACATGTACTTAGGGAATCCGAGAGAGGTTCGCAGTACACACATTGATGTGTGATCACAGGCACTCGAGGCCAGGATATTATTTTTTAAACATTGATTTTTGTTTTAGCACTCATAACTGACGTTATTTAAACGAAATATCAGCAGAATTCAAGTTTATGTGCCGGTTGACAAATCCGAGGTCCACGGTCACTAAAAATACACAAGGCAAGCAACTCCAGATTTTAAAAAATCGACCCCTCGCTTGGAAACTGGCTCAAAAATGTAGTTATGATAAGTTCCTTGTAAAACAATATGTATCCGTAGGTAGTGTGTATATTTACCTTTTATTTGGTGCATAACATTGCAGGCAACGAGAAATTCACAATACGTACATGAGATTAACATCTCAATAACCGGAGATTTTATCGTCCATGTAATTATCTTTGACGGAAGTAACATGCCATTTCAAGGGCGGTCACTCCGAGTTTTTGGGAGAGGAGTTCCGGATAGCACTATACCAGTGAACAGGTAAGAAAGATTCCGATGTCATTACGCGCGTAACTTCAAAATAGATATTTTTATTTCTACAAATACATTTGCGGGGATGGAAAAATAATAGCTGGGCAAAAAAGTCCACATTTGCCAACTCGGATACAATATCATGGTAAGGGATTATACAGAATGCATCAACTTTCAATCAAGCTGGCGGTAATGAGAATTTTTTTTCAAAAAAAAAATAGAAAAAAATCATGCAGATAATGAAAAAAGGGCGCAATTTATGAAAAATATCGTGGGGGAAATATATTAACTTAGAAATTGGAAATTAAATGATTTTTTCCATAGTGATTTTTGTCAAGTTATTGAGAATATTTGAAAAGAAATACATATTACTTATTAACCAAGAGGCCCAAAGGGCTTGTATTGCTACAGGTACTGTATCTTTTGGCAAACATCCATACAATGGACTTCCTGACCAAATATCATGACCCAAGGCCTTTTTGGTTATCAGAAGATGTTATTTAAGGGTTTATCCATGACCTTGAATATAATGTCAAAGTAATATTTCATTATCTGCATGATTTTTTTCTTATTTTTTTTTTGAAAAAAAAATTCTCATTACCGCCAGCTTGATTGAAAGTTGATGCATTCTGTATAATCCCTTACCATGATATTGTATCCGAGTTGGCAAATGTGGACTTTTTTGCCCAGCCATTATTTTTCCATCCCCGCAAATGTATTTGTAGAAATAAAAATATCTATTTTGAAGTTACGCGCGTAATGACATCGGAATCTTTCTTACCTGTTCACTGGCATAGTGCTATCCGGAACTCCTCTCCCAAAAAGTCGGAGTGACCGCCCTTGAAATGGCATGTTACTTCCGTCAAAGATAATTACATGGACGATAAAATCTCCGGTTATTGAGATGTTAATCTCATGTACGTATTGTGAATTTCTCGTTGCCTGTAATGTTATGCACCAAATAAAAGGTAAATATACACACTACCTACGGATACATATTGTTTTACAAGGAACTTATCATAACTACTTTTTGAGCCAGTTTCCAAGCGAGGGGTCGATTTTTTAAAATCTGGAGTTGCTTGCCTTGTGTATTTTTAATGACCGTGGACCTCGGATTTGTCAACCGGCATATAAACTTGAATTCTGCTGGTATTTCGTTGCTAAAACAAAAATCAATGTTTAAAAAATAATATCCTGGCCTCGAGTGCCTGTGAACGCGATGTAAGAGTTACAATATCTCCAAAAGAAATATTTGTAACACCAAGACTATCGATGCAAATATAATTGTTTGTATTAGAATGCAAGGATATTTATATGGAAAAATACATGTAGCAACATGATATAACGTCCTGAAAATATTCAAATATTTATAATTCTATCAGTACATTATTGATGAATATAACTATTACAATTGAGAATTATTGAGGTGAAAGTTATAGAAAAAAAATAAGAATAACAAAACAATATGTTTTGTGACCGCGATTTGAACTCGCCGCGGCAAATGTGCAGCTCCAGAGCATCGCACTTTCACCATTACACTACAGCGGCTAACTACGTCACTATTTAGTTTGTTAGTAATATAATTCAAAACCAACACACTTCGGATGTACACTGAATTTATTATGGGTGTGTGAATTGACTCTTTAGTTTATATCTTGTATATAGGGACACTTTCTCATCTTTTATATGTTAGTGTATGTTTTGAAAACAACACTGTAGCAAATACAGTTCAGCCATTATTTTTTTTCTGACGATAAACCCCTGCATTTTGTTTGGTTGCAAAATTCTATTTTTAGACGCAGACTCCGACAACGTTATTATGGAAAATACCGTTTGCAAACAAAAAAAGAAAAGGTTTTATTTTATTTTTTATACTTCTTATTGTATTTTTACTTACTGCATACTTATCAAAACACTAGCAATATCTACAATGACTATTTTTTCGAGGTCAGATCTGACGTCTGCTCATATGCACAAACGTAAACAAATCACGACAATGTCGCGAATACACAACATGGATATCTTCTACATAATATTGTTACATACCTGTTAGAGATGTAGACAACTTCTACAAGATGTGCAGATTGTGTTGACAGCTCTTCTACGTAACATACTTCAAATGTAGGCTGAAACTTACAAGATCTTCTATGCGAGTTTAGACTAACGTACAATGTAGCGCATGAGACTCGGGCCTAGGAGATTGCAAAATCTACGAGTTGTTAAGATGGATACTTTTTTGTCATTTTTAAAAATACATTTTTTTCATTATTATTATCTAATTTTATTAACAAACATAAGTCAAGTCATTTTTCATGTTTTTGTCTTTTATTTCAGCATCCATTTACTTCCGCAATCTTGTAGTCGGTCTCGACGCTAACGTTACGCTGGGCAACGTCAAAATCTCACTAAAATCGTGAAATGTGGTTACAAATTCAGAAGATATTTGTTATTTTAAATACCTCCCCAGGCATGTACCAAAAAATACTTCAGCACCGCAAACATAATGTGGAAATCGTTCTCATTGATAAATATAAAATTGGTACACCCTTGGGGAGTTAGTTAATTTTTCGTTCAAAGTCATAAAATATCGAAAAAAAATCGTGACTTTTTGTAAACGTGACGTTTTCCCGCGAAATTTGTGACGTCATCACACGCGTTATGAACCTATTTTTATCTGCATTTCAACTGATAAGTTGTTAAATAACACAAATGGGTACATGATTAAAGAGTTTTCTAACAATTTAAAAAAATATTTTTTGAGGCCAATTTTGAGCCAAAGTGCATCTACTCCTTTATTCAGGAAAGATTTGCACAAATGTATACAAAGCATGATAAATAAAATACATGTTACATAGTACATAAGGTGAAAAATTGACATAAATAAAACATGCAACACCGGAACATTAAATCACAATAAAGACAGCTGATATATATGTTAAACAAATCTATCCAAGGATAGCCCAAAAAGCGTAATAATATACGCTTATTTCCGTTGGGGTCCTTCAAAATGTAGATAAAAAAAACATTATGTGTCTCAATAGTAAACATAATCACTGTTATGTTTCTCTTTCATGTTGTCTTGAAAGTGACGTTTTACTTGAGATTTGAATCTTTTTTGGGTATTGTTTAAACTGTTCCAATACCAAGCTGTTCGATAGGAAATGTATAAAAGCCCAGTATATTTTGTAGAATTATCATATTTCAATCTGCACTTTGAAGCATCAATTTCTCATTGTTTGGTTTATTGCTTAACTTTTGTCACACATATATTAGTTAATCTTGTACTTTTTTCAGCTTAGTGTACGATCGATAACTTTTGTCATATATATTAGTTAATCTTGTACTTCTTTCAGTTTAGTGTAAATTATCATAACTTTTATCGTATATATTAGTGAATCTTGTTTTCAGGCGAACCATTTCTCCTCAGTGACGACGGTGAACAGAACAAGAGGATGATCGCATTCGCTACATCAGAGAACCTGACGGAACTTGCAGCATCTGACACATTCTTCTGGGCTGGCACATTCTACACCTGTCATACTATGTTTCACCAGATTTACAGCATCCTTGTACAGAAGGCATCATGACCCCAGTTATATATGCACTACTTCCCGGAAAGAGGCTACTACAGGATCACATGACACACTTTCATATTACCTATTTCATTATTGATATGTACGTATCCTATTTATAAAATAAGTTGACATTCTTAGTTGACAGACTATAATCTTAGCTTCAAAGGATTCCCTATATAAACACCTTCCTTTCAACTTGGCGGATTTGGTGTTCCGGGTATGGGCCCTATTTTAAAGATACACCGGTTCCATGGTTCAGTGCGCGCGGGTTTTTGTTATACCTAGCAATCAGCGATGTTACTTACACATGTTTTGATTAAGAATACAACAAAGGTTTAGATTCCAGTTTAGACGAGACGTGTGTGTGTACTTATGTAATGATTCAGTGCTATTTGAATTGACCTAGTAGAAAAGGCGATTTACAATGGAGGGATATTGGACAGGTCAGTGCGACAGTTACTAGTGGACTCATACAAACGGTCGTAAGTATAAAGTTTACATGTCCGTGTAACTGTATCGGTGGGATCTGTTATTTGTTTTTAATTGATTCATCAGAACATGTTGGTATGGTTGATATTGTTTACGTGTTTGAAGCTGAAACGAACTCAGTTACTACTAGAGGTCATAAAGAACGCCTTATATGATCAAGGAAAATATTTGTAGGTTAAGCATTGAGCGAATACTGAATATATATGCGTATTATATGATGATATATTAAAACAGACATTGGAAGATCTAATTCTGTATAGCTGTTGATAAAAAATTTATTTTCACCAATTGTATTTACAACAGCAAAAGTAGACTAATCTCATGTTTGTTTATGTGTATAGTACAAGTATGACACCCCAGGCATCTACAATCGTCAGTGATCCATGCACGCAATGTAGTTTACCCTAAACTGATATATACGGTCTACATATCGTGTACTTTCCCTGATATTTTGAATTGAATTTTAGCCTGATAAAAAACGACTCGTTACTCATTCGTGTTATAAGGATAAAAATAAAACCACATCACGGCAGAATGTGTATTACCCAGAAATCAGAATACAGCATTGGCGGTTACTTGGTAAATAAGTTTATCAAAACACACTGCAATCTACGTACCGTAAGTATAAATATCGGTAACTTCCTTGGTATATCATGCTATTCAAGATGGAAATGACAATTAACATCTAGCTTTAGCTTCTCTGATTTTCATACTATAAACTTATTACTCCATCAAATGGTTTTATACGAACGTTTCTCTACATCAGGTGATTTGATACGAATGTTCCTCTACATCAAGTGATTTGATATGTATGTTCCTCTACATCTTTCGGTTTGATACGAATGTTCCTCTACATCTTTCGATTTGATACGAATGTTCCTCTACATAAGGTGTTCTTATACGAATGTTCTTTTTCATCAGGTGGTTTGATACGAATGTTACTTTACATCAGGTGGTTTGAAACGAATGTTCCTCTACATCAGGTGGTTTGATACGATTGTTCCTCTACATCAAGTGATTTGAAACGAATGTTTCTCTAAATCAGGTGGTTCAATACGCATGTCCCTCTACATCAGGTGATTTGATCAGAATGTTCCTCTACATCAGGTGGTTTTATACAAATGTTCATCCAAATCAGGTGGTTTGATACAAATGTTCCTCTACATCAGGTTGTTTGAAACGAATGTTCCTCTACATCAGGTGGTTTGATTAGAATGTTGCTCTACATCAGGTGGTTTGATACGAATGTTCCTCTCCATCAGGTGGTTTGATACGAATGTTCCTCTACATCATTCGGTTTGAAACGAATGTTCCTCTACATCAGGTGATTTGAAACGAACGTTCCTCTACATCAGGTGATTTGATAAGAATGTTCCTCTAGATCAGGCGGTTTGATACGAATGTTCCTCTACATCAGGTGGTTTGATACGAATGTTACTCTACATCAGGTGGTTTGAAACGAATGTTTATCTACATCAGGTTGTTTGATACGCATGTTCCTCTACATCAGGTGGTTTGATACGAATGTTACTCTACATCAGGTGGTTTGAAACGAATATTTATCTACATCAGGTTGTTTGATACGAATGTTCCTCTACATCAGGTGGTTTGATACGAATGTTACTCTACATCAGGTGGTTTGAAACGAATGTTTATCTACATCAGGTTGTTTGATACGAATGTTCCTCTACATCAGTCGGTTTTATACGAATGTTCATCTACATCAGGCGGTTTGATACGAATGTCCCTCTACATCAGGTGATTTGAAATATATGTTCCTATAGATCAGGTGTTTTTATACAAATGATCATCTAAATCAGGTGGTTTGATACGAATATTCCTCAACATCAGGGTTCCTCTTCATCAGGAGATCTGAAACGAATGTTCCTCTACATCAAGTGATTTGATACGAATGTTACTTTACACCAGGCGGTTTATACGAATGTTCATCTACATCAGGCGGTTTGATACGAATGTCCCTCTACATCAGGTGATTTGAAATATATGTTCCTATAGATCAGGTGGTTTTATACAAATGTTCCTCTACATCAGGTGTTTTTATACAAATGATCATCTAAATCAGGTGGTTTGATACGAATATTCCTCAACATCAGGGTTCCTCTTCATCAGGAGATCTGAAACGAATGTTCCTCTACATCAAGTGATTTGATACGAATGTTACTTTACACCAGGCGGTTTATACGAATGTTTCTCTACATCAGGTGGTTTTATACGAATGGTCCTCTACATCAGGAGATTTGAAACGAATGTTCCTCTTCATCAGGAGATTTGAAACGAATGTTCCTCTACATCAAGTGATTTGATTAGAATGTTTCTTTACATGAGGTGGTTTTATACGAATGTTCCTCTACATCAGGAGGTTTTATACGAACGTTCGTCTACATCAGGTGATTTGATAAGAATGTTCCTCTACATCAAGTGATTTGATACGAATGTTCCTCTACAACAGTTGGTTTGATACGAATGTTCCTCTACATCAGGCGGTTTTATACGAATGTTCCTCTACATCAGGCGGTTTTATACGAACGTTCCTCTACATCAGGTCATTTGAAACGAATGTTCCTCTACATCAAGTGATTTGATATGTATGTTCCTCTACATCATTCGGTTTGGTACGAATGTTCCTCGACATCATTCGGTTTGATACGAATGTTCGTCTACATAAGATGGTCTTATACGAATGTTCTTTTTCATCAGGTGGTTTTATACGAATGTTACTTTACTCATTCAGTTTGATACAAATGTTCCTCTACATCAGGTGATTAAAATGAAATTTGGTCCAATTTCCGGATTGAACAGCAATTCTAATTTTGACATGGTAGTTAATGCGGATATATATATATATATATTTAAGGATGTGTTTTCAAAGTTAACGGTTACAATGGTTTACATTTTCTATTTCATGTTATTTGGAAAATAATCATTATAGATATTTTTCATATCCAGTATGCAATAATACGCCTTTCTCGTTAGAACTTTCTGAACCAAGTTGACAACATTTTGGGACACTGTGCAGATTGCGCTATTTAATTTTTTTAAAAAATATGATTGGTTTTGTGGTCAGTTCTTGATGAAAGAGATAAGGAAAGCGAAGAATGCAACACAATAATTGCTCACGGGACACATTAAGAATGAGACAAAGTACAAGAAAAAAAAAAAAAAAAAGAATTAAACTGTATCATACAGGTATTTTGTCCTTCTTTGACTCCTCAATCACGATAGGTATGCAAATTCTTCAAACCTATGATTTTCCAGATGGATGATACAAATTGGTTGAAATAAAAGTCAAAATCAAAATATTGCAATAAATCAAATTGCCCTTCCAGCCCTCTTTTGATATACTTGCTGTATTGTTATGTTAGCTAGTTATTATCTATGTGTTTTTGCATTAAGCATAAATCCTATTTCAAAAACAGATTCATCTAGCTTCTGTTCATAAAACAAAACGAAAATACCAACGTGGCAACATATTCATAATTTAAACTCAAATTCTATAAAGGAAGGGGGGAATAAGAACAAAAGAAAGATTTACACGGCGACTCCTGAAACAATACAATTAGACTAAGACAGGTGTGCCGGAAGAGTAAGCGTCTTCTGGTTCATCGACAACACCCAACATGTAAACCTTGGTCAATCCAAGTAAGTAATGTCACACAATGTATACAAAAACGTAACACAAAGGAAAACTAACGATCCATTAATCAATTTGATTGTTTACATGTGAATTCAAGTAACAATGACATTTCCAGATTTCTGGATTATAATGCTAGAAAATGCTTGATTTTGGTTTTCATGAGTTGGTGGTAAAACGGAAATCTATAAAGTTTTAATGTGTTTTTTAGCTGATGATTCACCTTATATACTGTCATGTTTTGAATATCAAATGCCTGTTTCAATTTCAGGAAGAAGTGTTCTATACGAGAGTACTAGTGTCTAGTTATAAACATGGAGACAATTTCAAGTTCTTCCAGGCTGGATTTTAAAAATTTAGTAGTGTCAACTAAAGCAAAGGTGCTAATGAGGGATGTCTCTGGATCGGCATGTAGTGGCGATCTGTTAGCTATTATGGGACCTACAGGTAAATATTTTAGCCTCATGTTATTTTTTACATTAAGTAGATGAATAGATAAATAAAGACACAGATAAAATATTCAAAACAAAATGTTTTCTAAGTGTCATTACAGTCAATATTGCAAGTGGCCTCCAGGATAGAAAAGGAATACTTGCCAGAAGTGCATAATGTACTTACAATTTTATATCGACTATAATGATATTTAGAAAATAATTAATTTTCCCCTTTATCAATAACTTATCGTGCAATATCAAATAAGTATTCAGTCATTTTACTAAAAACTCCTTATCTTTAAATGCACATGTAATTTGCAAACCATACGAGGAATTAAGCAATGAAGAATTGCTTAACACATAATGATTTCCTTATTAACGAACTTAACTTGCTTTGTTTTAAGCATGGGTTTTATTGGTTTCAGAGAGAGAGAGAGAGAGAGAGAGAGAGAGAGAGAGAGAGAGAGAGAGAGAGAGGAGGAGGAGGAGGGTGGTTTGGTTGGGGTTGAGAGAGAGACAGACAGACAGAGAGGGAGAGAGAGAGAGAGAGAGAGGATGGATATAAATAAATCGATTTCAACAAAAATTATGTAGAATAATTAACCATCGTATAAAAAGATCCATTAGGTAAATAAAGTTATTGTATTTATTTTCCAGGCGCTGGGAAAACTACTCTTCTCAATGTTTTGGCGGGAAGAATACCATTTGACTCTGGAACAATCAATCTGAATGGACAACCCTTTAACAAAACACAGAGGCGTCGTCTTGGTTATGTACTACAGGATGATATATTTTTATCTAATCTGACACTTTGGGAAACACTTTATGTGAGTATCTCATTATTGAAAGATTTTTCTTCAGCAATGTTTATGATTATACTTGTGAACAAACCATATTTTTGGGAAAAACAAAAACAAAACCAAAAAAAAAAAAAAAAACAAAACAAAAAACAAAAAAATATATAAATAAAAAAGCAAAAAACGGAAAATGCAATGTAATGATAACACTTCATTTTTCAATTATTGATACATTCGTTATTTTGTGATTATAATATGATGCAGATTTTAAAATGCATGTTATTAGTTAACTTGCTATATTCCTTAATGGTCATACACATGCTTATTTATACAATTACTCAATTTGAAATAGATTCATTTACATATTCCTATTAAATGGAATGTCTCTAATATGAAAGACGGTATTACATGAAAGCATGACCTTAATTTATGTTTGTGAAAGATCCTGAATATGGAAAGGGTTACTTGCATCAGATATTATTATGACTTTACAGTGAATGTAACTACGATATCGTATGTTAATATTTGTTTTAAAATTATCACTTATATGTGAGAGGAGACCACCTGTGTGAGAAGCTATATCATATATATACAGATATATCATCATCTACATTTGAGATGAAGATGAATTTACCTGTATATATAAAGATAAGTAACATGTACGAGATAAGACCAGTTAGATATTGTCACGTCTCGGATAATCCCATCTGTACTCTTATGAACAATGAGTAGGGTCACTTGTAATATATGATACATGATGTTATATTCTTTCAATATTCCCCATAATCGATATATATTCTAATAAGGAAAAAGTGCATTCATACACTGAAATATGAGTTATAATATTATTTTTACGACGTACGATATATTATCATTCAAACAGGTTATCACATCTGACATCTGACTATTTTAACTTATGTCATTATACACAGATCATGTGATATTACAAATATAGGTAAAACTGTTCCTATGTTGAATTATTTCAAAACTAAAAATATAAAGTACTACTAGTTTACAGCAATGATACGGATACCAGACCAAGTTCCACAACAGGAAAAGATTGAAAAGATCTATAGAATTGTCGATTCCCTTGGCCTAAGGAAGTGTCTACATACAGGTAAGTACAACAGTGAGCAGGTACATACTTATCATCTGTGATATGTGGCAAAGGTATTTACTGAAAATATAAACATGATGAAATGTAGAAAGACATTTCCCACTCTCTTGCATGTAATTCTATACATTCTCGAAATTAAAATTTCACTAAAGACATTCGAAAACAATTATTTGGATTGACCCAGATATAAATGGCGGGTGTCGTTGATGAAGCAGAAAATGCTTACTCTTCCGGAATATCTTATTACATTCCCATTGTACTGTTTTAAGAATTTACGTGTAAATATTTCTACTATTTCATTATATCCCAACATCCTAGTTTTGGAAAACGTGGCATGGTGATATTTTCTTACATTCGCAATAATATCTGAAGGGATATAATATTAATTTTAATCAATTTCAAACGTTATGAGTATGTATTCAAATATATTTATGTAAAGTAAAACCAGGTAGAAGTTTATGCGTGTGTTTCCGATTACATTTTTGGATTGCTTATATCGTTTCATTTTGTTCTAGCTGTTGGTGATATTTTCAGTCGTGGTCTTTCTGGAGGAGAGAGAAAAAGAGCGAACATTGGCTGTGAGCTTCTTACAGATCCAGATATTCTTCTTATAGACGTGAGTGCTCAACCTCAATTACAACTATCTTCTTGCATATATATTGCACGCCAATAATGACGTGTAGGAAAATAATCGACCTTATTAAGACATATATAAACCCAAAAGCAAAATACAAAAACACAGAAATCACGGTTGGTTCATATAAATTGTTGGACTACTTTCATGTTATTAATATTTGCTTTCATATGATCGAAAGGAACCTACATCCGGTCTAGACTCCAGTACAGCACATTCTTTGATGAAACAGCTGAAGGATTATGCTACACAATGTAACAAAACAATTGTGGCTACCATTCACCAACCCTCCAGTCAAGTTTTCCACATGTTTTCCACACTGTTACTGCTTATGGAAGGAAAGGTAAACATTCATTGAAGTTGATGCTGACATTTGCTGTATTTTGACAATAAACTATTATTTTTGTTAAATTTATCAAAGTGGTTTCTCACCTTCTATTATAGATGGCATACTTTGGTTTAGCCAGCAAGGTTACAGAACATTTCGCTAGACTAGGAATGCCTTGTAATCAACATTACAATCCAGCTGACTTTCTTTGTAAGTACTTATGTTTCCTGATCCCAATTATACCATATGTTTAGGTCCTTAGCATCACTGACGAGTCCTAGAAGTACGAAACAGCTGTATGATGCTGTTTAATTCATTGGTTGGCTCTACTGTATCTCACTCTAAACCGTAAAAAGGATTCATTCACTTGTGTGTCTTTTGTACAGTCATTGATCCTACATTGTATAAAATCGAATACAGCAATTTGAAAACACTGAAACCTGGTAACTCGTATAACCACTCCAGACTGAGATTGTAATATATGGTATTAGGTTATACGAAATGATATTAGAACATTTGATTCGAGATATTTTATGGCAACCAATAGTACGTAACAACCTAACACGATTATCAGACTTCTCATAATGATAAGATCGGATGTTTCGGAAGGGTAAGCGTTTTGTGCTTCATCGACGAAGTCCGTCGTTTAAAACTTGGCCAATCAAAGTAAATAATGTCACGTGCACAAAACGAGAACACCGTAAATAAGTATAACAGAACTACAGGCATACTGATTCGGATCTAACATGTCCAACTTTTATCGAACTTATCACATAAGGAAACCTTTTCAGGGAGAATCGGTCAATATCATCAGTGATCGCAGTGTCTTTGAGATTTATTATTTATTCTTTTTTTTTTCAAATATTCCTCAATCCAGGAAAGTTCATAAATCGGATCATTATGTAACATCACGTATTGGTTTGCCTTTTAATCAAGAAACTTTACTGAGTGATTTTTTATCTCTAGTAGAGATTCTGACTCCTGATATAAGCTCGAAGTTAGAAGAAGAGAACACTGGTAAAATTCAAATGTAAGTAGAGCGAACAATTGGATTTAAAAACGACGAAAACTAATGATCAAACTCAACATCAATATAAGTCAAGCAATGCTAACATATTGATTATTATATTAATGGATAATTAATACAGAATATACATTTATGACAAATGCATCATATTTGTGTTGCTGTAAAACACATGGGTTAGAGTTCTGTGTCTGTTTTATGCAGGGATCTAGTTAATAATTTGATGTGTTTAAGGAATTTCAAATTAACATTGCTAGATAAAAATAGTATTCACTTTTAGTTCTGATAAATAAACATATAAATAAATAGATCGCTAAAAATGCAACGCTTAGGTATGTGTTTTACAGTCTGCTCGGGAAGGAAGAAAGCTCATGTTCGCCTTACAAGATAAACGGATCTAATGTCAAAAAAATTACGAAAGATCGCAGGCATGAAGATGTGGAACTCGTGTTAGGTTAGAGTCTTTTTGTGTGTCTGTTATGAAGTAATTTCAAGATGAGGTCACTACATACGTATATATTCAACTAATGGCCGCTACCACTTAATGCTAATCTTATATATCACGTCCCAGTTTTGTTGATTGCTGATTTTGACCTGGTCACATCAATTATCACATTGTTTCGTTCCTTTACCAAAGATGGTCAGGGTTTTGTTGATGCACTGTTTTTCGTAAATAACACAGTATTTGGTAATGTTGTTTTTCTCTCTCTTTTTTTAACATTAAGTTAAACCATTATCTGAGGACATTGTGGTGGAGAAAAGTATCATTGGTGAAGGGGAGACAACCCGACGGTGGAGCACTTCAATTTGGACTCAGTTTAAAATGCTCAACTGGAGGTCATACAAGCAATCGAAAGGAAGAATATTCGAAAAGTTTGACCTCCTACAAGCTGCTTTCATAGCATCCTTTGCCAGCATTTTATTCTTTCAAATCGATGATTCGATCAACACCGTCCGAGATCGAATGGGTTTGGTATGACTGTAATAAACACGAATTTCGATAATCAAGCTGGTTAATATCTTCATATCATAGCTTACTGATGTCGTTATACAATTGTGCGTCGCATTAAAGTTTATAGAAATGTAAAAGCTTAAGAACGTTTATAAAGATGAGAAGAATAAGAAAGTGTATGGAGGTGTGAAAAAGTAAGAAAGTTTATAAAGATATGAAATTGTAAGAGAGATAATAGAGATGTAAAGTGTATGAAAGGTTATAGAGATGTGCAAGTGCAAGAAAGTTTATAGTGATTTGAATTCGTAAGAATGGTTACAGAGATGTAAATGTTTAAGAAGGATTAAAGAGGCGTAAAAATGCCAGAAAGTTAAAGAGGTATGAAAGTGTAAGAAAGTTCATGGAGATATGAAAGTGTACGAAAGATTATAGAACTGTAGAACTGTAAGAAAGTTTATAGAGGTGCGAAAACCTTAGAATGTTTATAGCGATATCAAAAGTGTAAGAATGTTAATAGATGTGTAAAGAAGTAAGAACATTTATAGAGATGAAAATCATAGTATGCTTAGAGATGGAAAAAGTTTGTTGGAGAAAGTTTGTATGGTTTGGAAAGTTTAAGAAACTTTATAGAGGTGTGAAATAGTGAGAAACGTTATCGAAATGTTAAAGGAGGTTTATAGAGGCGTGGAAGAGTAAGGTTTAAAGATATGTAAGATGTGCACAATGAAGAAACTCACTTTTTTGTCTTGTAGGTGACTATTTCGTTGATTTATTGGTCCTTTCAAATGCTCATTACAACGCTTTTAGGATGTGAGTATTTCACGATCGATAAAATGCATTTATGCAAATGCTTAATTGTTAAGAAAAATTATATTTCCAACATGAAATGTTAATATTTTATTTTTTCTGCAATGCGAAAATAAATATCTCTAGTTTTCCGTGCGAACTGGATCATTTTATTGAAAACATTTATAAGATATTTGAGAAACAAGGAACATTTAATTACTGTATCCACCGTTCGTGGAATTCTAGTAGTAGCATATATAGAATGGTTTTTGACAGTTACTGGTGAGCGTGCTGTTGTCAGTAAGGACCGGGCTGCCGGGGCGTACCGATTGTCAGCTTACTACCTCGCTAAAATCACCAGTGAGATGCCTCTCCTGCTTTCAGTACCTTTTGTGTTTAACACTGCTGTGTACTGGTTGGCTGGTTTGGGAGGGGTGGACGGCTACTTCGTATACCTGGGGATTGGAACGCTTAACTGTCTAATGATGCAGGTGAGAATTTGACGAAAAAAACTATTGAAATGAAAAAAAAATAACAACGAAATGAAGTTTTGTTCTTGGCAAAATGTATATCAATATTGTAATATCTTAAGTTTATGGAACGAAATCAAATTGATTAGTTCTAATCCTGATTAGTCATGTGATATTGTTGGCAGCCAGAGTACAGTATTAACACAAATCTGCATGTTAAGTATATGTTGGGTCAAACCTCGAAAGTATGGTATAATCAACGAAAGTAAAACCATGTACAGCATTGATAGAAATCTATCAATAGAAATATGTTTATACAACAAAAGCGTATATATAACTTTTAACTAAATAATATCTATCTGTTGTTCATATCAAGCAATTGTTAATTCATTTTTGTAAAGAAACAGTTTGTTATCCAAGTTCGAATGTTCAACATTTGCGATACTCAGTGCTTTGCGTTTCGTTTCATTTGGTTACTAGTTGGAGTATTCATATAAAAGATATATTGTTGACTGTTTTACATTACGATGACGTCACAATGTTTACAGCATCAGTGGAATATCTGCGCTTGTTGATATGTTGCCTTTACTTTTTGTGGTTGTTTCCTTTATGATGATGATATTGGTTAGATAATGTTAAGTTTCGTCAACAGATAACATTCATAAATGTGAATTTGCATGAAATACGGCTGTTTTCACTGAAAACGTCAGCTTTCTCTTCGGTCATAGCCGTGATCTGTCTTCACGACATTGATAAGGACGGTATATTTCTACAACACGAAACTATTACGGCATCTAGAAATAACTAAAACCGTTCAACGTTATATCATTGAGGAGTTCCAACAATAAACACATTCTTCATAAATTGCTGTAGCGCATCCATCGTCCTGCATGGTTGAAAACGAAACACAAAATTTCCGCTTTCGTGTTGGATTTAAGATAATGTAAATTACTCTATATTATTTTTCTAAAACCTGTTAAATTGAACAGAACTACCTCTGTATTGGCTTTTCTGCATCATATGGACAAAAAAGAATAAGAATTCAGAAGAATGTACGTCTTTCAGCCATTCGAATGTATGCCAAGTTCGTGTGTCAAGTTTATCATCTCGAAAAAAATATAGATAGTGGAGTGCGCTGGACAAGTTTAGCGGTCAAGTATTAATGTAGTTTATCATGGCAGTCACGTGACTTTACTGGTTACGGACGGACTGTGTCATACATCTAGCTAGTAGATATGGACATCGCGTAATATGATTTTATTTTAAAAACAGCATGATAAAAGAAGACATCGGAACGAAAAACATTTTCAAAATATGTAAAAGCTACATTAATAACATCCTATATATCAAAATATATATGTATATCACTGCTTTTTTATTTAGAGTTTGGCGCATAACCTTGGCGTTCTGATCAAGAACGTCAAACTGAGCATGATGGCGGGAAATGTTATCATATTAGGCGGGCTATTACTAGGTATATATTAAAATATTTTACAATAAACATTGTAATTAACGATTTTATTCATATTAGAATCAATTTTCAAAACAAAACGCAAAAAGTTTTATTCTTTCAATGAAGTCATGAAGTTATTTCCCTAACTGATAATCCAAGTTATAACATAATAAAGATAGCACCCTTAAAAGCAATTCAAGTATATTGATATAAAAAAATCAAAGGTTTATGTTCATGACAAACGTATTTTTGAGCTAGGCTTGTTTCGATTTTTCATTGAAATATCATTTAGAATTTTATAGATGTTTGTGTTAAGAAAAAAGAAAGATTATATGATAAAGGTGTTCAGTTTATTTTTAATCATCAATGTTATAGGAGGATTTCTTAATATCAATCCGCCTGACTGGCTAAAGTGGGTGAAGTACATCACACTGGTTCACTACCCTTACTCTGCCATAATGACTTATATACTAAAGGATATGGATGACGTTTGGTAAGAAATATACATTTTAAAGCTTATAATATCTTTTGGTAACAACTGTGTTGAGCATTAATCAGAGCAACGATGTATAACGTAGACACAATTATTTTCGCGGGGATGATATTTTCGCTTTTTTTCACGGTACATAGCTTTGTCCTGGAAATATAATCCGAAAAATAATGAGACATGTATGTATTATATGTCCTTTAACGTCCAGACGAAAATATACGTCGTTGAAATATAGTTCGTTTTAAGTGGAAATCGCGAAGATTTTGACCATGACAATTTGTACGTTTACGTAGCCTCTGTGATTATCCCTGAAAAGAATGTTTATATGTGTTTTTGAATTCTGACAAGTAGCAAGATTTTTACTAAGTAAATACTACATAAGATTTATATACATTATAGTAATAATTGTTTTAATTCTGCTATGTGTCAATATTTCATAATCCATCGAGGTAATCTGAAGAAAATGCATTAGTGTTATGTGTTATCCATAACTCATTATATGATTTTAGTTCATTTTAAGTTATATTTAGATAATATTTAGATAACTATGGAAACTTTTTAAGATACATCAAAGCATTGTAACTTTCGATTGTTGTCCCTGCTTACAATGAACTATAAGAAATGAATCTACCTTTCTATTTGTAACGTCGATTCCGTGATGATAAGACTTTGATATCATGTTTGCGTCAAAACATTAAATAGAACACCAAATGAAATTATTTTATACTTTTTCATTGTTTACATAACTCTTTATCATTTGCTTGTTTATTATATACATTTGTTTTATCCTTTCTATCCAGGTGTAACCAAACAAGTCCAGATTTCTATTCTCAGTGCGGAAATAACACGACCGATGTACTGACGTCACGTGATGTATTAATGGGGATTGGTGTGGAGCTCCCTATATATTGTTATATTATGACAATAGTAATTGTCACATCGTTGTTTTATATTCTTGGCTATTACTCATTGAAATTAAAACGGGTATGACGAAAATTATATCACAGTTGACTACTGATAATATGTGTCTGGGTAGTTCATAATCACTGCCTTTAAATTGTTTATATTGAGTGTCTGGGTAGTTTGCAATCAACGCCTTTAATTTTTTTTTATATTTGGTGTCTGGGTAGTTCACAATCAATGCCTTTAAATTGTTGATATTGGGTGTATGGGAAGTTAACAATCAATGCCTTTAAATTGTTGATATTGGGTGTCTGGGTAGTTCACAATCAATGCCTTTAAATTGTTGATATTGGGTGTATGGGTAGTTTGCAATCAACGCCTTTAAATTGTTGATATTGAGTGTCTGGGAAGTTAACAATCAATGCCTTTAAATTGTTGATATTGGGTGTCTGGGTAGTTCACAATCAATGCCGTTAAATTGTTGATATTGGGTGTCTAGATAGTTCACAATTTAAAGGTCATTTTATGTAACACAGTATGCTGCTGCTTAATGAAAAGAAATGTTTACGTGTTTTGTTTTAAGTGTATTGTGTTTGTTTTGTGATTGTTTGTAATTTGCTATATACTAGAAATATTTGTTTACCTGGACCAACAGAAGGGACTAATTGAAAGAAAATATCCTTAAAAAAAAACAAAAACAAAAAAAAAACAACTGGATAACAACAAAAGAGTCGAGCAAATATAACATGTCATATTGTCTATTGGTTTCGTTTATTCATAGAGATGGTTATTTTATGTAATTTTTAGTTGATCATTTTAATGTAATTCAGCCAAATAACGTTATGATCATCTGCACTTTGTTTTGAGATCTGATTTCAGCCCATTCAGACTAAAAATTACAAATAACGAAGTGAATCATAACACATTCAAATAGTAATGTTCAACTTTTGATATTTATGGTTTCTTTAATTGATACATAAAATCATTATGTTTTCCCAAATATGTCAGTAGGAAACAATGGCTTCTGTGGTTTAAGTAGTTTTGGTCCCGCATGGAGGCACAACATTCTGTGGCCAGTTGCATGTTTGAGAAGATTCGTCAAACACCAAAGCTGTAAAGGTAAAAAATGTGAAATATTCTAAAATCATATCATAAACCATCTGATGTTTACATCCAAATATGCTTTCATATGAAACATTTGACTTCATCATGGTGCAGTTATACGTATAGAAGAAATAGACTAACGATACTGGTCTTCTAGAACAAGTAATTAAGGGAAATGGTTGTATATGTATATGTAGGGTTAAAACCATCATTCAAAAACGCACTCTCATAATACTAATTGAATATATATTTGGTCAACAAAACTAAAAAAAAATGATAGTTTGATCAACTCAGTTGTGACTTGTTTCAAATTTAACAACTTATAAGCACCAAAAGGCACAACCATCTTGAGAAAAAAGGGTGCGGCTACTGGTGAACCATTGTTATCTTTTACCAGACTTCTGTATTATTAGGTCGCATTTTGACTTCATTAAACCACAGTTCCTAATTTAACCAGACCCTCTGTTGGCAAAGCGATGCTACAATCTAAATGTTTTCAAGAGGTGTTATTTTCGGGAATGTTGATGCATTTACAAAGTAAGCGAAATTGAAAATCTCGCAAATATTAACAACTATTACCAATACAAGAACAGCAAGGTATTACTTACATGGAGCGCAGATAGTATGTCCAAAAAAAGTACCCCTGTTGCAGGTGTAGTAGCTATGGCAATGATTATCTTTGTCTGCATAACTTCTGTCACCCTTGTTCGTACAGTCCTTTTGCTGTCCACACGGTGGCGCCACGTTATGTGGACTAAGAATACAGGCATATGCTATATTTTGTAAAGACCTCTAATATCATAATATTGAAGAATGGTTTAGTGCAAGCATCGTATGAAAACGAGAAATATAAATGACACATTTGGCAGTTGCGAATGCATTGTCTTTTTGATGACATGTTTCAAATGTAACACAATGTTTACATGTACTTGGTTCCGACTTTTCTGTAACACTTTCGTCTATAGAACTGCTGTTGTTACTTAGAAGAGTTATGATGCGTATATAGATCGTTTTTACACAAACGTTTGGTGATATTTATAGAAAACGTCATTAGTTTCTGTTTGTGTAAATCTTTTTATTACACAGACATGTTATTTTTTTGTTTACATATCTTTAAATTTATGTTATTACATAGACGAGCTATGATGTTTGTGCAAATATTATTTTTTATTACACAAATATATTATATTTTTATCAATTTAAATGTTATTACACAGACAAGTCATGATGCTTGTATAAATATGATATATTTGTATTACACAGACGAGCTTTGATGATTATGCAAATATAATATTTATATACCATAGCCAGGTACTGATATTTTTATAATCTTCTGTAAGTATTACACAGCGTTCTAATGTTTATATTTATGTATGTTTAGATATGATATGTGCAGTTTGATGTCATCAGTGGATAATAACTCGGATAAAACTAACATAGATTATTTTCACTGTCACCTTTCCTATGCCAACAGTAATAATATCGTACTAATGACAAATGGGATGGATTATTTTTGTACAATAAATCATACTGTTGTCTGTCTTGAGTTCAATAACGAATTGTTACACGAATACTAATATCGCCTAAAAGAACATTACACAAAGTTGTAAAACTCCAATATGGATTGATATGATTAAAAGATAAACACATATTAAACCTACTCATCACAGTGTCCTGTAGCCGAATTGTAGACAAACTCGGCTCCAACATCTGCACATACCACTAAGGTTCCAACACCATTCACGCATCGGTAGTAAGTTCGACAGCCTACGGCAATGTTCTCAGTAGCGCCTGCGGCACATTGCTGACTCGTTCCTTAAACGTTAAAGTCATATGCAATATTTATAAATATATTTATGTATCTGCATACAACGACAAGAAACGACACAACAATGAATATGAATGAAAAAGTCCACCCTTACAGAGAGGGTGACTTTGTATTTATTGATTTAGTTAGAAATAATATCTTACAGTTACATAAACCATTAAATGACCAAAAGATTATTTTTTCAGTAATTATAATAAAAAACCAATGTGAGGTTAACAAAAAAACCGCCACAATTGTTTATAATAAATAACGTTACTATAGAACAGACAATAGGGTGGAAGTGGGTGGGTAAATTTTGCATAACAAATGCAAATCTACTCCACTAAATGAAATACGTTTTCCTACAATTAACGAAGGCTGCCTTATGACAGGGGTCTCAGCATCCCCGCGAAAGTAACTGGCCAATCAGATGACCGATGTCCCTCTAATTCAAGGGACAGAACTCTTAGTAATTTTTGGAAAGAAAATCAAGGGAAATAACTCTTATAATTCTTTAACAGAAAAATAACTCGTATCTATTTAACAAAAAATTCGACAATAAAAGTATCTTGTATAGTGTTTCCGGTACATAAATTAAGCTAATGCCTTAGATGCCTTTTATGTATCTGCACACTACGACAAGAAACGACACAACAATCAATATTAATGAAAAAGTCCACCCTTACAGAGAGGGTGACTTTGCATTTATTTATGAAATTAAAAACATATCTTACAGTTACATAAACCATAAAATGAACAAAAGATTACATTTTTTCAGTAGTTGTAATAAAAAGTGTGGGTTTAACAAAAAAAAAACGCCACAAAGACATGACAAAATGTCTTAATAAATATTACAGAACAAATAAACGAATAAAAACAAAAACAGAAAACCTAAAAGACAAAAGTCCAATGACAAAAAGGGACTGAAAGTGAATATACAATGATGGACAATATCTAGGTCTACTATATGTCGGTAACACAAAGGAAATAATTTTTTAAAATGTATATACATGTTTATATGATAAGCTAGAGGTAAACTGACTAAGTTTACTGATAATCAATATTGCTGCAAATACGAAAATGATAAAAAATAGTTAGAATCTGAAAGGTTTTTACCTGTGGAGAAGAACGCAGACAGGAATACAAATAGGATCAACATATTGACGGTTCTAGGGAATAACTGACGTGGTATTTGATAATAGTTTTTAACCAGGTCTTTAATTCGTCCAAGTTCCTGGTCTACCTATCGAAGCAACACATCTGTTACTTTCTCGACGACTATGCTGAGTACAGCATGTAAAGATCAAATAACATAAAAACCGTGGACTTGTTATTTGAAATGCACATAGGTATACATACAAATGATTTTGCATACCAAACAGAACTGATATTTAATGGACGACACTGGCATGTGCGGTGATAATTTGGTGACAATTTTATCTTTCAATTAAACAATCACACACACGCAGATACCATGAATAAGCACTTGAAGTTTAAGATCAATACTATTTTCTTTAATTCAGTTAAGCTTTTGATCATCTTGTTGACTTCCTCATATTCCACTCTCATTTTATGCTGTCTCGCCAAATAATTTGTTCAAATAAATATGGTAAGAGTCAATCTCCCTGGTAGAAAAGTTACCGATTCTAACTATTTTTTAAATGATGACAGTTATTTTGAGAACTCCTGCCATTTTAGAAGACTCTAGCTTGTGTCAAGAGGTTCTGTCTAATGTAAGACAGGAACGTAAACCAATCCATCTTTGCAATCGATCATCTTGAACCCTTCAATCGATCAAAAGCACTGAAATCTATGATAGAAGTTTGGAAATCTTCATCGGACTAAGTACACATGTACATGAAGAAACTATGATGCTATCTGATCTGGATAATTAATTGAGATTTCGGTATAGTAGCTAACGTTTGAAATGTTAAAAAATCAAGATAATTCCAACATGGCAACATAATCATAATTCAAACTAACTTTCCATAAAACTAGGGTAAAATATGAACAAAAGAAAGATTTACAGGGAGACTCCTGAAACGTACGATGAGAAGACCAGGTGTTCCGGAAGAGTAAGCGGCTTCAGCTGTGTAAATGAAACTGGAAATATATATATATACAAAAAGAATGCAATGATATAAGTTTACCAAGACATATAAAACTTCTTTTCGTT